ATTATAACCATTGATACAATCAATTCTAAGTCTGTTATGTTTTTATATTATGTACTGACTGAATTTGTTATTAACGGAATGAAAACGCGTTGGGCAAATAATATATGGTTTAAATGAAAGGGTTGGATCAAGTGATAAGCGGTTTGTTTTAATTTAAGTAAGATCTTGAGTTTGAGACCTTGTGTACGCAGTAGCCTTCGCTAGGAGACTCACCCACCATTTCCAGGTGCGCGATGCGGGTCGGGTCCAGATTAGTCGGGACGAAGCCTCGGATACCGGGCGAAAAAAAAAAATAATAATAATAATATATGGCTGAAGCAGTTACCACCGGGCCAGGCGAGATCTGGACTGCTTCCATTCATGCGATAGAATATAGACGCGCTGTCGTTTTCAGTTGTACCTCGTGATCGAAAAGGTTTGAACTTTGAAGGGACCAAGCATGCATTCCCCAAATAGCACACTTTTGTAGAGGTACCATCTCGGACTAAATCATCCTGCTCCTTCTGCCTAATGATTGTAATGCAACTGTCACAAAATCAGCGCATTTATTTGATTTTAAGAGTAGTAATTTATACATATTTTATTTTAATGTATTACATAATATATTTATTAAAAAATATAATTTTTTATTTAAAATTTAAGATAAACAAATTTAAAAATATAATTATACACACAGAATATAAAAATTAATTGAATTTATTATATTTATATTATATTTTTAATAATTGAATCCAAAATATGTAAAAAAATATGTTGAATTGAATACGTACAAATCATTTTCCTTGATTTTAAATACATATCTCCACATTAATATGATGCATTCTTTCATGTTAGTTAGTTTTAAAAGTTGAATGGTGTGTTTATTTTGTTGATTTTATCATCTATAAACTTTTTTTTTTTTACCATAAACAATTAGTTAAAATGTTTAAAAATGTTTATAACCTATATAGTTGATTTTAATTCGATGATGTTAGACTTTTTATTAATTATTAAAACCAGTTCAAATAGATAAAAGTGACTCTATAAAATAATATTTATTCACTAATAAATTTAATATTGACCTTAACATATTCATTTGTATTATGTGGAGTGCGTAATATAAAATGAGCATAAATTTAAGGAATTGCCTTTATGTACAAGAATATACTAATTAATTACCGCTTGTTTCTTGCCCCGATTAACGAATCATAATAATAAATCAAAACGCAATAGGCAATTTGTTTAACCAAAAAGTAAATCAAGACTTCACAAGGCAAACACTATCAATAACTTTGAGGTTTGAAGTATTGTATATAAGTATAGGCTAACTTTACATTACTAACCACCACTTGTTTGTTGCCCCTAGTAACAAATCATAATACATCAAAATCGCAATAGGCAATTTGTTTAATCAAAAAGTAAATCAAAACTTCACTAGGCAACCACATCAATAACTTCGAGGTTTTAAGTATTGTATATAGATAGGTATAGCCTAACTTTACATTAATTTCAAATTTTAATTAATAGACAAAATTAATTTATGAGTTAATTGAGATTTTTTTTTGATATATATTCAATAATAAACTACATGTAAGAGAGAATAGTTTTATTTTTTTCATAAATTCTTTTTTATTCAACTTAAAATTTGAAAAATTTTAACTTTTAATCAATTGAACCCTTCCTTAAAAACGATGATTTAAGCCAAAATTATTGACTCCCTAATTAATTTGTTTGTTTATCAGATTCAAATCTCTATTTCCCCGGATAAAAAACAAAAATGATTAAAAAATTAAAACAGACAAAAGAAAGAAAAGTAAAAGACGACAAATCATTAATTCAGTGTAAGCCAGATGACTTCTCAGATACAATATGGCTGGTCGCAAGTTGCCAGTTGCAACCCACCCATATACCCCATGAATCAGACCAAAGATTCTCCATCCAATGCTTCCACATTATCATCCACTAGGAAATCAGGGTCCACTTATCAACCCACCAATCCTCTTTCTGCTCATCCCAGGACACGGTAAGGGGACAAAACCTCTACCATTTCGTATCATTTCGTACGTACCTCCGGTTACTTTTCTGAAAATATCATGAAAAAGCTAAAAAAAAAATCGCAATCTTCCATGATTTTTCTTTTCTTTTTTCCACATTAATTCTCCTAAGTTGTTTCTCCACGAGGTGTCTCAGTTTCATCAGGGGACGGTCGTTTCTCCTTCCGCCCCCTTCATCTTACACGCAACACTACTACCCCAGGACCGCGCAAATCAAGTACGATCTTCTAGCATAATAACCTCCGAGTCTCAGGTGGTCGTTTCAGCTCTGTTTCAAACATGGGTTTTGGTCTGGATCTTTATTTTTACCTTAGCAATTATGATTTTGGATGGCTGCTGGAGTTTCTACGGGGCATGCTGAAGCCAGTGGCTGCCCTTGCTGTGGTGCTAATGGCGGTGATTTTGTCCCGCTGCCAAAAACTTGGTCTGGAGAAAGAAATGGCGTATTCCATTTTCAGGGCATTTCTTCAGCTCTCTGTTATTGGCTTTGTACTTCAGTTCATCTTTAACCAGAAAAACAGCGGCTGGATCATTCTTGCTTATCTTTTCATGGTATGTCTTACTTTCAATTTATTCTATAGTTATTTTATTTTATCTTTTTTCTCCTAGATTTTTTATTTCAGTTTCCGGGGGTTTCAAAGTTCTACTGTAGATTAATATTTCTTTTTGTGTTGTGGTCATTTTTCTTTGATTAATAAGGTCAATTCTTATTCCATGGAGAGTAGAATTTTTGTTTTCTAAGCCTAAAAATCTCAAAAATACTAGATTTAAACTGTTGAACAAAGAAAAATAAAGCATAGAAACTTTTTTTTTTAGCTGAAAACAGATCAAAACAAAGCAGAGGAGATTACATATGAATCCTTAATTCGGGCAAAAGAGAAGATCTCACCTACAACATTAGATGTAGTAAAAAACTATACCTATGGGTTATGACAAATAAAAACAATTAGGTTTACACAGTCACCTATACTCATGAGATTTGGCATAAACAAAGTTACAAAAGTAAGAAGAATGTTACCACATCCTAAGCTAGGCATTCCCAACTACTATGCCAAACTTCAAGAGAGAGCAGGTAATTCGACAAACAACAATCCCCACCTACTAAATGCCAAACGAAGATTTGCACTAACCTATAGAAAAGTTGGAGTCTGTTTCAAAGGTCACCTAAGCTATGCTCAATTTAAGTTAGAGAAGAGTCACCACCACGTTGTCGTTCTCTTCAATCTATGGTAAAACCCAATGAAAACTAACGAGACAATCAAGGTGAAAAATCCAAAAAAGGGGAGAAACTCGCACAAAGGAGAGAGAACCTCAAAGAGGAGAAACTCCCACTTTATTCATCCTCCCTAGTCCCTAGCCACTAAAAGGGAGAAGGGCAATGACTAGAGAGAAAAGAAGGAGACGAGAGGCTGGAAGCTATGGAGAAAAGAAGAAGAGAGAAGCGTTAGGATTCCTGACGTTAATGTTTTACAGAGCAGAGGATCTAATTGCTAGTATTTATGCTTCCAACAATTTTACTAGAAATAGCAAAGCAACCTTCTTTCTATGATACTCTAATTCAATTAAGGTTTGGCTTCTCTTTTTTTTTTTTTTTTTTTTTTTTTTTTTTTTTTTTTTCTTCTTTTCTTTTTTTGTCCAAATTCAAATTTAGCTTACTGGGATATTTTTTCTTTTCAGGTCTCTGTTGCTGGTTATACAGCAGGGCAACGAGCTAAACATGTCCCTCGTGGGAAGTATGTTGCTGGAATTTCTATATTGGCTGGAACAACAGTGACAATGTTCCTCCTTGTTTTATTGAATGTTTTCCCTTTCACTCCACGGTACATCATTCCCGTGGCAGGGATGATGGTTGGGAATGCAATGACTGTAACTGGGGTTACAATGAAAAGGCTCAGAGACGATATCAAGACACAAATGAACCTGGTAAGTTGCAAAAAAGTATTTAATTTCATGTCTCTTTTAACCTGTGAGAAACTATTACTTTTCTTGCCTAAGAAGTAATTGTTAACATTCTAATTAATTATTTCAGTAGGGATGAGCCCATAATCTACAATATTTGCAACTTTGTTAGTAACTTCATATATTGTAATTCTTTTGTAGGTGGAGACAGCATTGGCTCTAGGGGCAACTCCACGCCAAGCAACTATCCAACAGATGAAAAGGTCTTTGGTCATCGCGCTTTCTCCAGTGCTGGACAATGCCAAAACGGTCGGTCTGATCTCACTTCCAGGGGCAATGACCGGCCTCATAATGGGAGGGGCTTCCCCTCTAGAGGCTATTCAGTTGCAGATTGTTGTAATGAACATGCTTATTGGTGCATCTACTGTTAGTAGCATCATGTCAACGTACCTCTGTTGGCCTGCCTTCTTCACCAAGGCATATCAGTTAGAAGCCAAGGTTTTCGCGTCAAATTGAGGGGTATTTTTTTTTGGTAATTTTAGGCCTTTAGCTTTCTGAAATTCCATCCTTAAGCTATTTGATTGCAGTCGAAATTGCAAAATGAAACGAATATCGTAGCGTCTAGCTGTTATTGCATAATTAATTTAGAAATTATATACTATTTAAGTATTTGTACAACTCTGTTTTCTCAATGATTAACACGTATCAATTTTCAAAGGTTGGGAATTCTAGTTAATTGCACTTTGCATTGGATTTTTAAGATCTATAGTACAGAAAATGTTAGTCGCCCCATTTGCTAACCTTGAGTACCCATGAACAATAACGGAGAAGTTGGAGGAGCAGACTTTTGGAAGTTAAAAGCAATTTTTCTCAATGGAATAGTGGCAGGTGCAGTACCTTGAATCGTTTTGAGAAAATTGGATGAACACCATTGTAAGGTGGCAGTGTCGGTTTGAATAAGGGATGAGAGGGTGGCGGTACCGGGGGCTGTAATGGAGCTGTAGGTGTGGTCTTAACATCCTCGAAAGGGCTGATGTTCAACCAATTTCCTGGAGGATCATAATTGCAAATCACGAAAAAGCCACCATCATTCAAGCACTTCACTTTTGCACACCCAACCTGGGTGGTTCTGCTCCACACAATTTGCGTATAATGTCCGCACGTCTGGCCTTGGTCGCACTTATTGGTCCTAGGGTTATAGTACTGCTTCTCATCAGCCCACGATTTCACCACCAACCTCGGTGTCCACTTATCCCTTAAATTCCAGAACAAGTTCTCCCCGAAGCCGGTTTTAGAATGGATCAATTCGCAGTCGCGGCGCCGCTTGTTGGCCCAGCGCAATGCATGGCGGGCAAGGGTGTTGTTCCATTTCAGAGGATTTAGCCCGTGGGTGCGCCTCTCAATATTGTGAGCGGCGAGGAACTCATGCGCTATGAGCGCCTTGTTCTTCTTGGCCGGGGTAGGGTTTGGTTTGGTTGCGGTTGACAGGAGCGTCCTTCTTTCCTTGGGGTGGGGAGGCTGGAAAGCGGAGACGGTGGCGAAGAGGAGAACGGAGATAAGTACGGATGTGGCAATCCGTTGTAGGTCCATCCCTGGGGATGGCGTTCCCATGATGATCGATCTAAGAGTGGTGGAGGAAGAAGCCACGGTTTTATCTTGACGCATAGGTTCTAAAAATGGATGGGTTTGTTGATGAATAAAAATGCTACTAATCTAACAGATTCATCGTTGCAGGCCTTTTCTTTTCTTTCCCCTTCCCTTTTTTTTTTTTTGGGGGAGAGAAATTGTTTTGAAGACACAGAGTTTGTTATGGTGTCCAAAAAAAAAGGCAATCTGTTGTATGGAGAAACCCTTCAATAGAACGCGACATTTTCCTCTACTTCATATAGGAAGAGATTAGCATAATTTATTATTAGTTATAGCGTGGGTGGTACATATCAGTTAACATTTTAAAATAATTAAAATTTTAATTTAAAAATATTATATTTTAATAAATATTTTA